TCTTGTGTGTATGTACAGGCTCTCATTAGGAACAGACTAACTCCTCTTGTGTGTATGTACAGCTCTCAACATTAGGAACAGACTAACTCCTCTTGTGTGTATGTACAGCTCTCATTAGGAACAGACTAACTCCTCTTGTGTGTATGTACAGCTCTCAACATTAGGAACAGACTAACCCTCTTGTGTGTATGCACAGCTCTCAACATTAGGAACAGACTAACTCCTCTTGTGTGTATGTACAGCTCTCATTAGGAGAACAGACTAACTCCTCTTGTGTGTATGTACAGCTCTCAACATTAGGAACAGACTAACTCCTCTTGTGTGTATGCACAGCTCTCAACATTAGGAACAGACTAACTCCTCTTGTGTGTATGCACAGCTCTCATTAGGAACAGACTAACTCCTCTTGTGTGTATGTACAGCTCTCAACATTAGGAACAGACTAACTCCTCTTGTGTGTATGCACAGCTCTCATTAGGAACAGACTAACTCCTCTTGTGTGTATGTACAGCTCTCAACATTAGGAACAGACTAACTCCTCTTGTTGTGTATGCACAGCTCATACATTAGGAACAGACTAACTCCTCTTGTGTGTATGCACAGCTCTCATTAGGAACAGACTAACTCCTCTTGTGTGTATGCACAGCTCTCATTAGGAACAGACTAACTCCTCTTGTGTGTATGTACAGCTCTCAACATGCCCAGACTTGGAGTGATTTTCACCTCTTTTAATACTTTCCACCTCATTCTGAAAGAAAGAAGTGAGATGTTCCAACGTGACGGCCGTCTTGGTGTGTGGTGCGAGACGGGAGATGTAGTTCATTGAGCGGTTTCACACAAAACAATGTGTTACTTCACAGTTTTACGACACATTTTTTTTTTTTTTTACTTGTAAAATGATCTTTTAAATTGACAAACATCAGATGTGTAATTCATGACTCAATTCAAACGGGATCCAAAGATAATCTTTCTCTCTCCATTGACTTCAATACATAACTTTTCCGAAATAAGGTCCCATTGAGCTCCCCCGGAAGGGGAGGGACTTCGCCTCTCTATATAAACACTAGATGACTGACCCGCGCTGCTGGCCAATGGAGACCGACGATGCCACATGGCGGCCATCTTGCCACAGGCAGCTCATTCATAACATGTCTATGGTGCACTATTGAAATAACATTATGTCTATGGTGCACTATTGAAATAACATTATGTCTATGGTGCACTATTGAAATAACATTATGTCTATGGTGCACTATTGAAATAACATTATGTCTTTGGTGCACTATTGAAATAACATTATGTCTTTGGTGCACTATTGAAATAACATTATGTCTATGGTGCACTATTGAAATAACATTATGTCTATGGTGCACTATTGAAATAACATTATGTCTATGGTGCACTATTGAAATAACATTATGTCTATGGTGCACTATTGAAATAACATTATGTCTATGGTGCACTATTGAAATAACATATATGGTCTATTGAAAACATTATGCTAGGTGCACTATTGAAATAACATTATGTCTATGGTGCACTATTGAAATAACATGTCTATGGTGCACTATTGAAATAACATTATGTCTATGGTGCACTATTGAAATAACATTATGTCTTTGGTGCACTATTTGAAATAACATGTCTATGGTGCACTATTGAAAAACATTATGTCTATGGTGCACTATTGAAATAAACATTATGTCTATGGTGCACTATTGAAATAACATTATGTCTATGGTGCACTATTGAAATAACATTATGTCAATAGTGCACCCCTATTGAAATAACATGTCTATGGTGCACTATTGAAATAACATTATGTCTTTGGTGCACTATTGAAATAACATGTCTTTGGTGCACTATTGAAATAACATTATGTCTATGGTGCACTATTGAAATAACATTATGTCTATGGTGCACTATTGAAATAACATTATGTCTTTGGTGCACTATTGAAATAACATTATGTCTATGGTGCACTATTGAAATAACATGTCTATGGTGCACTATTGAAATAACATTATGTCTATGGTGCACTATTGAAATAACATGTCTATGGTGCACTATTGAAATAACATTATGTCTTTGGTGCACTATTGAAATAACATTATGTCTTTGGTGCACTATTGAAATAACATTATGTCTATGGTGCACTATTGAAATAACATTATGTCTATGGTGCACTATTGAAATAACATTATGTCTATGGTGCACTATTGAAATAACCGTAGATTGCTCAAGTTTCAAACGGTTTGGTTTTTTTTAAACATCAAAGATGTAGTTATGATACTGCATACTTATAATTATATGTTTTTTTCAACATGTATTGTTGTCTCCTGTATCATAGCCATGCTAATAACGTTTATAATAAACCAAACCGTTTGTAAATCAGTCAAGATTTCAGCGAGTTCAGATCACTTCTGTGCAGATCACTTCTGTGCAGATCACTTCTGTTCAGATCACTTCTGTTCAGATCACTTCTGTTCAGATCACTTCTGTTCAGATCACTTCTGTGTAGATCACTTCTGTGCAGATCACTTCTGTGTAGATCACTTCTGTACAGATCACTTCTGTACAGATCACTTCTGTACAGATCACTTCTGTACAGATCACTTCTGTGTAGATCACTTCTGTACAGATCACTTCTGTCAGAATCACTTCTGGTGCAGATCACTTCTGTGTAGATCACTTCTGTACAGATCACTTGCTGTACATATCACTTCTGGTAGATCACTTCTGTACAGATCACGTCTGTGTAAGATCACTTCTGTTCAGATCACATTCTGTGTAGATCACTTCTTGTCAGATCACTTCTGTTTCAGATCACGTCTGTTCAGATCACTTCTGTTCAGATCACTTCTGTTCAGATCACTTCTGTTCAGATCACTTCTGTACAGATCACTTCTGTTCAGATCACTTCTGTGTAGATCACTTCTGTGTAGATCACTTCTGTTCAGATCACTTCTGTGCAGATCACTTCTGTTCAGAGTCACTTCTGTTCAGATCACTTTCTGTGCAGATCACTTCTGTAGCAGATCACTTCTGTGTAGATCAACTTACTGTACAATCACTTCTGTGTAGATCACTTCTGTACAGATCACTTCTGTTCAGATCACTTCTGTTCAGATCACTTCTGTGTAGATCACTTCTGTACAGATCACTTCTGTGCAGATCACTTCTGTACAGATCACTTCTGTTCAGATCACTTCTGTGCAGATCACTTCTGTTCAGATCACTTCTGTACAGATCACTTCTGTGTAGATCACTTCTGTACAGATCACTTCTGTACAGATCACTTCTGTTCAGATCACTTCTGTTCAGATCACTTCTGTTCAGATCACTTCTGTACAGATCACTTCTGTTCAGATCACTTCTGTTCAGATCACTTCTGTTCAGATCACTTCTGTTCAGATCACTTCTGTGCAGATCACTTCTGTACAGATCACTTCTGTACAGATCACTTCTGTGTAGATCACTTCTGTACAGATCACTTCTGTTCAGATCACTTCTGTTCAGATCACTTCTGTACAGATCACTTCTGTACAGATCACTTCTGTACAGATCACTTCTGTTCAGATCACTTCTGTTCAGATCACTTCTGTACAGATCACTTCTGTTCAGATCACTTCTGTACAGATCACTTCTGTGTAGATCCACTTCTGTACAGATCACTTTCTGTGTAGATCACTTCTGTACAGATCACTTCTGTGTGGATCACTTCTGTACAGATCACTTCGGTGTAGATCACTTCTGTCAGATCACTTCTGTTCAGATCACTTCTGTTCAGATCACTTCTGTACAGATCACTTCTGTTCAGATCACTTCTGTACAGATCACTTCTGTTCAGATCACTTCTGTACAGATCACTTCTGTTCAGATCACTTCTGTTCAGATCACTTCTGTACAGATCACTTCTGTGTAGATCACTTCTGTACAGATCACTTCTGTGTAGATCACTTCTGTACAGATCACTTCTGTGTAGATCACTTCTGTACAGATCACTTCTGTTCAGATCACTTCTGTTCAGATCACTTCTGTACAGATCACTTCTGTTCAGATCACTTCTGTACAGATCACTTCTGTTCAGATCAATTCTGTACAGATCACTTCTGTACCCGATCACTTCTGTTCAGATCACTACTTCGTACAGATCACTTCTGTACAGATCACTTCTGTTAGATCACTTCTGTTTCAGCAGATCACTTCTGTCAGATCACTTCTGTACAGATCACTTCTGTTCAGAATCCCCTTCTGTACAGATCCACTTTCTGTTCCAGATCACTTCGGTACAAGATCACATTACTGTTCAGATCACTTTCTGTTCAGAATCACTTTCTGTACAGATCACTTCTGTGTAGATCACTTCTGTACAGATCACTTCTGTGTAGATCACTTCTGTACAGATCACTTCTGTGTAGATCACTTCTGTACAGATCACTTCTGTTCAGATCACTTCTGTTCAGATCACTTCTGTACAGATCACTTCTGTTCAGATCACTTCTGTACAGATCACTTCTGTTCAGATCACTTCTGTACAGATCACTTCTGTTCAGATCACTTCTGTACAGATCACTTCTGTACAGATCACTTCTGTTCAGATCACTTCTGTTCAGATCACTTCTGTTCAGATCACTTCTGTTCAGATCACTTCTGTGCAGATCACCTCTGTGTAGATCACTCGCCTTACAGCAGCTGGAGCAGTAGTTGTTGACTGTGGCAAGATGGCCGCCGGTGAGCTACGCTTGCGACTCCCCCTTGAGCCATCTAGTGTTCATATATCTATGCTCTAACCCACCTGTCCCCCCCTGCAGGTACAGAGAGTCACCATGACGACTCCCCCTTGAGCCATCTAGTGTTCATATATCTATGCTCTAACCCACCTGTCCCCCCCTGCAGGTACAGAGAGTCACCATGGCGACTCCCCCTTGAGCCATCTAGTGTTCATATATATCTATGGGTGAGACAGCACATAATACCCACAATACACTTTGTTTCAGCTGGTGGCCATTTATGAAGTCCTGAAGGACGAGGAGAGGAGGCGCAGGTGAGTCACCTTATGATACCTCAGATATACCTGTCTATATAATATCATATTAAATTATGCTATATAACATGGTTTAATATTATGGTATATTGTAGGGCTGTGCAATTAATCGTTTTTTAATCGCAATTACGATTTTGGCCTGCCACAATTACAAAAACCACATAATCGAAAAAAACGATTATTTAGCTTTGCTAGGTTGTGACTGTGCAACATATTTGATCTAATTTATTTTATAGTCTAATTTAGTTATCATATTTATATATGTTCAGTAGCTTGTTGAAGTGCGCTCCAAAATATTTGTTGATCTTTTTTATTGGTATTTATTATTTTGATATTATTTATGTAAATGTATAATTTATTTTATTTATTGGTTTTTCAGTTGAATTATACATTCAGGGTAATCAACAGTTAAACAGATACTGTTCAAATTATTATTTTAATTTGTTTTAAAGTTCAATAAATGGACGTTTTCAAAGTCAATGAATAATCGTATTTCATAATCGTGATATCAATTATTGACCAAAATAATCGTGATTATGATTTTTGCCATAATGGCCCAGCCCTAGTATATGGTATGATATTAGTTTGTATGATGTTCGTGTCTAATAACCAGCTATGACGACATCCTGCTGAACATATTGTATGGTATTAGTTTGTCTGATGTTCGTGTCTAATAACCAGCTATGACGACATCCTGCTGAACATATTGTATGGTATGATATTAGTTTGTCTGATGTTCGTGTCTAATAACCAGCTATGACGACATCCTGCTGAACATATTGTATGGTATTAGTTTGTCTGATGTTCGTGTCTAATAACCAGCTATGACGACATCCTGCTGAACATATTGTATGGTATTAGTTTGTCTGATGTTCGTGTCTAATAACCAGCTATGACGACATCCTGCTGAACATATTGTATGGTATGATATTAGTTTGTCTGATGTTCGTGTCTAATAACCAGCTATGACGACATCCTGCTGAACGGCCTCCCTGACTGGCGCCAGCCGGTCTTTTATTACCGCCCGCGTGAGGAAGATGAGCAACGCTGAGCTGGGCTTCCTCCTCTTCCTCATCCTCACCGTGGGACATTACGCCGTCATCTGGTCCATCTACCTGGAGAAACAGCTGGTGAGACAGCCAATCAGAGCACAGCAGGCACTCTTTCAGCCAATCAGAGCACAGCAGGCACTCTTTCAGCCAATCAGACCACAGCAGGCACTCTTTCAGCCAATCACAGCAGGCACTCATTCAGCCAATCAGAGCACAGCAGGCACTCTTTCAGCCAATCAGACCACAGCAGGCACTCTTTCAGCCAATCACAGCAGGCACCAGGGTTCGTACGGTCATGAAAAACCTGGAAAAGTCATGGAAATTCAAAATGCAAATTCCAGGCCCTGGAAAAGTTATGGAAAACAATATGTTTCCCAAAGTTTTGGAAAAGTCATTGAAATGTAACTTATAATTTAAGTATAATTCACGAGCCATTTAGGTTTAATTTTTTTTATACTTTTTTGTACTTGAGTAAAAGTAGAAGTACTCAGGTCTTGTACTTGAGTAAAAGTAGAAGTACTCAGATCTTGTACTTGAGTAAAGTAGAAGTACTCCATGTACCTCTGAAACTGTAGTGGAGTAGAAGTACACCATGTACCTCTGAACTGTAGTGGAGTAGAAGTACACCATGTACCTCTGAACTGTAGAGGAGTAGAAGTACACCATGTACCTCTGAACTGTAGTGGAGTAGAAGTACACCATGTACCTCTGAACTGTAGAGGAGTAGAAGTACACCATGTACCTCTGAACTGTAGTGGAGTAGAAGTACACCATGTACCTCTGAACTGTAGAGGAGTAGAAGTACACCATGTACCTCTGAACTGTAGAGGAGTAGAAGTACACCATGTACCTCTGAACTGTAGAGGAGTAGAAGTACACCATGTACCTCTGAACTGTAGTGCAGTAGAAGTACACCATGTACCTCTGAACTGTAGTGGAGTAGAAGTACACCATGTACCTCTGAACTGTAGTGGAGTAGAAGTACACCATGTACCTCTGAACTGTAGAGGAGTAGAAGTACACCATGTACCTCTGAACTGTAGAGGAGTAGAAGTACACCATGTACCTCTGAACTGTAGAGGAGTAGAAGTACACCATGTACCTCTGAACTGTAGAGGAGTAGAAGTACACCATGTACCTCTGAACTGTAGTAGAGTAGAAGTACACCAGTTACCTCTGAACTGTAGAGGAGTAGAAGTACACCATGTACCTCTGAACTGTAGAGGAGTAGAAGTACACCATGTACCTCTGAACTGTAGAGGAGTAGAAGTACACCATGTACCTCTGAACTGTAGTGCAGTAGAAGTACACCATGTACCTCTGAACTGTAGTGGAGTAGAAGTACACCATGTACCTCTGAACTGTAGTGGAGTAAAAGTACACCATGTACCTCTGAACTGTAGAGGAGTAGAAGTACACCATGTACCTCTGAACTGTAGTGGAGTAGAAGTACACCATGTACCTCTGAACTGTAGAGGAGTAGAAGTACACCATGTACCTCTGAACTGTAGAGGAGTAGAAGTACACCATGTACCTCTGAACTGTAGAGGAGAAGAAGTACACCATGTACCTCTGAACTGTAGTGGAGTAGAAGTACACCATGTACCTCTGAACTGTAGTGGAGTAGAAGTACACCATGTACCTCTGAACTGTAGAGGAGTAGAAGTACACCATGTACCTCTGAACTGTAGTGGAGTAGAAGTACACCATGTACCTCTGAACTGTAGAGGAGTAGAAGTACACCATGTACCTCTGAACTGTAGAGGAGTAGAAGTACACCATGTACCTCTGAACTGTAGAGGAGTAGAAGTACACCATGTACCTCTGAACTGTAGTGCAGTAGAAGTACACCATGTACCTCTGAACTGTAGAGGAGTAGAAGTACACCATGTACCTCTGAACTGTAGAGGAGTAGAAGTACACCATGTACCTCTGAACTGTAGTGGAGTAGAAGTACACCATGTACCTCTGAACTGTAGTGGAGTAGAAGTACACCATGTACCTCTGAACTGTAGAGGAGTAGAAGTACACAGTAGCAAAACATTGAAATACTTAAATAAAGTACAAGTATCTCAAAATTGTACCCAAGTATAGTACTTGTTGAGTTTATGAACGTAGTTACTTTACACCAGTGGCTATAAAGACAGAAAGACTAAGCCTTGCACAGAGACATCTTCAAAATGCTCAACAGAGCTGCCAACATTATAAACTGACTGCTACACAATTAAAATAAATGCTTTATATATTTCTATTAGATGTGACTCTTTGGCGTTTCTGTTATTATTAACTGCTTTAGTTGTTCTGACTGCTAACATCCTGTTAGTCCCGTGGGGTCGGGGGGCTCGGATCCTTGTCACCTTTTTCATACCTGATGAGTTTGCATCCTTGATTACAGTTGCTTTAGTGTGTAGAAGCTGGTAACCCTACTATTTGATTTGTTTTAGATAGGCACAACATGTTTCATATGCAGGCCTTATTTTCCTGTTCCATGTTCAAATAAACCATTTTCAGTGGTACCGCTGAGAAAGAGTCATTTGTTTTGGTCATGGAAAATTAGGTAAAGGTCATAGAAAATGAGGTAAAGGTCATGGAGAAGTCATTGAAAATCATTGGTGAAAAAGTGTATGAACCCTGAGGCACTCATTCAGCCAATCAGAGCACGGCAGGCACTCATTTAGCCAATCAGAGCACAGCAGGCACTCTTTCAGCCAACCAGAGCACAGCAGGCACTCTTTCAGCCAATCACAGCAGGTGTGGTCATGTGATGTCCTCCATGTTTCAGGACGAGCTGCTAAGCAAGAAGAAGAAAGAGAAGAAGAAGAAGCTGAGACCTGCCGAGGAGCCCAGGTGTATCGGCCCGGACCGTAGCGACAGGTACGCCATGACATCACTTCCTGTCTGATGCTCACATCACATGACTTCCTGTGCCATGCTGACATCACACATGAGGTCATGTGAAGCTCTGTTATTGTTTGTTTGTTGTTGTTTCAGAGTCAGTGAGCGGCCGCACTGGCAGGACATCCTCCCTCTGAAGCTGAGCATCTGGCTCTACCTGTCAATCAAACACCTGCCAGAAACCATCCAGGTGAGCTGTCTGTCTGACTGTCTGTCTGTCTGTCTGTCTCTGCTACAGTGTAATAACCCCTGTCTGTCTGTCTCTGCTACAGTGTAATAACCCCTGTCTGTCTGTCTCTGCTACAGTGTAATAACCCCTGTGTCTCTGCTACAGTGTAATAACCCCTGTCTGTCTGTCACTGTCACAGTGTAATAACCCCTGTCTGTCTCTGCTACAGTGTAATAACCCC